AGATACCAGAGGAGAAGCTCCACCACATATCTCTGTATGGAATAGAAGGAAGTGAGTTTGTTGTTCTGTTGTACGCTGAAAACCAACTTCGTCTGCAAGGTTCCTTTTCTGGTAGTCCACGAAAGTAAGGTGACTAGACTAGGTGTTTCTTTATGGCATACAGTAAGAAGCAGAGGTGGTTTATAGCATCTGTGTGGAGGGTGTTGCCTGTCTCCGCCCACTATATCAGTGTGGACAGTGCTTTTGGACATTGTGGTGAATAGTGCAACGAAAAATGCGTGTACATCCTACTGAATGCGAGAAGATGGTCCATAGCATCGATATTTCCCGCTTGCATTCTTCAGTAGCGATTCTCTCCTCCTCCAACGACCTCCCCCAGCGAACAAACGCGACCCCCCCCCCAATAAAACCCCATGCAAACGACCTTAAGACCTGATGACGGCGCTACATGGTGATGGCGAGTTACAATTAAGTAACTGAAGTCACGACATACTTGAGCTCATGGCAGATTGCACACGGAAGGTCAAGGCCGGTCTCTTAGGCCACAGAACACATAACCGGCGCAGTTCGGAGACGCAGAGAGGGAGCATTTCTCCCCTTCCCCCCCCCCCCGTCGCCGAGCTGCGTCCACAGTACCTAATAACTTGATCAGTAAATGAATAAATAGGCAGAAAAATGTGTAAATGAATAGATAATAGAGATGTGGATAGTGCTCAATAAGAGTGTAACGGAGAAATGTTTAGAATCTGTCTACCATGCATTCAAACACTTCCGATTAGATGGAAAAGTCGGTTTCGTCATTGGATCGCAAAAACCTTGGGTAGAAGTCTATGCACTGCTAAATGGAGCAAAAGAGGTAACCCTTCAAGATTTCGTGCTATATGATCTTTTTAATGTAATAATTACGATATGCATTGCATTGCTGTCATCTATCCAACAGTTTCAGGGGGGGGGGCGACCCATAAGCATAAAATAATTCTTACTTTGAAGTGGCAGTTGTCTAGAATCGGGAGATAACCGAAGAGCGCCAGCAGATCCACCCCTATTGCCCTCATATATGAGCAATAGATTCCGCTCTTTGTACAAGTAGTACGTGCCACAACTCCGACTCCGACAAGTGTCCATTTCCCCAGCTCATCAAAGAGTGATTAGGACGCTGCCGCCGTTATTAGGCCACGCTACGCTACCCATAGAAAGTCCGCTAGTGACGAAATATACCAGAAACTACATATAGTCGTTTTCGCTGCCTGTGCTGGGGGTGTGTCAGGGGACGGGTTGTTGGTGTGCCGCCAGGCCGCTTTCCCAGAATTGCTGTCCCTGAACAATAGGCGAAGAACAGGCTGGTGTCGCACAAAATCCAGCCCCTGACACGCCCAGCGCGTCTGCAGCGAAAACCAGTGTTGTTTTCACCATGTAGAGAAGCACTCTGTTATCTTTAAAGCCGTCTTTTTCTTCTCCCACTTGTTGCAGTCCTAATAGCACCACGGATTCAAGGCAAAGCATTTGATTTGTGATGCAGGTGACCGGCATACTTTCAGATTACTACTGTGGAATATCAACACCTGAAAATCAATGGTACAGACAAAGTTAAATATGTGCATCCTATTGAGTTTGCCAAAGGTTGGCGAAGGTAAGTCTGGTTCCTTCGGCTCACATTTATAGTACTCGGTGCTCTCCTGCTTAGTAAGGGCAACGGATGGTATCCTTATTTAGCAAAGCCTTCACGAGCCACTGTGAGGGTTGTAAATTCATAAAGCCAAACAAACTCAGTTGTATCATTCTGCAGCTTCCCGGTTCATAAATCCCAAGAATAAGACTTGTTAGTTACCATGCGCCAGAAAGAGGGAGAGTGCAAAATGTACCTTCCATGCCGAATTGCTCCAAGTAAGGCAGTAATCCGCCGCTTTTCAGACTAATTATGTTAAAGATAGATCAATCAGTGTCAGTCATACCTTACAAAAAGTGCCATGCATTCGGCACTTGTTCAGGCGACTCTGGAAGCTTATAGCTTATAAAAGATTATAAGTTCAGAATAGGAGGGTGTACAATACGCCGAAATTGTGAGTAAATTCAAGGAGTCGAGCAGTCCTAAACTTAGTCTGGAGTCAATCCGTGGCGGCAATGCAATGGGGTGCAATAGCGGATGGTGTATTTCCACACGATCCACCCCTCAATTACTCTTTGGGGTACTGTGTACCTGCAAAGCAGAAAGACCTCTATCTCTTAATTGCAAGGTTCTTTGAACAATCTCAATATTCCCCAGTTTTTTTTTTCAGGTACGCAGCAAAGTTTTGACTTCGCCGCTTCATTCTCATCAATCGAACACATGTGTGTCTTGGACGGTGAAGGGAAAAAATTTCTGTACCATATTCACTGCTGAAGTGCATCACCATACTCAAATTTTGTGGGTTGAGGGGGTAACAGGCCGTCAGGAGATCCACGTTGCTATTTCACTCGGCATATTTAGCAACTCGATAAATCACTTAGCTCCTGGTACGAAAGCCGAGCTAATAGGCCCTGCATCACAACGTGGGTACCCCGGCCAACGCGCAGGGGTTGTTTTTGTGGAAATGTCAATACGGTGAGTTTGCGAGTGGTGTTTGGGCGGAACCACCGTACCTTCCTCATGGTGCACCCCTCCACTTCCCCACGGAGGGCACAATGCACCAAGAATGAAATTGGCCAGAACACTGCTTCGGGTGGGGGGCTTCCCTATCTATGTACCTTCTGGAGCGATGCCGGTCTATTTCCATGGATGTCTGAGCGCCCCTTAACGACTGGTGGGAAAGATTTGGCGCCGCGCCAGAAGGTACAAGCAGGAAACACTGTACAAGCAGCGTGAAACGTTTCTCCTGCCATGACTCCGGAATTTATTCACTCGTTCAGATACGGCGACCCTATGGACCCTATTGGTGATCTGCGTGAAGTTTGGAAGACACACTGCCTACTGAAGAAAGGAGGTATGCACTTGAGTAATGTAGTCTGGAAGTACTTAGATGCAATCTGTATTCCGTAGATTGGGTGGGCGTGGCTGTGTACTTTATTTTGTAATGGCATGGGAGCCGTTTTTCGCAGGATGCTTCCCATTTGAGCAAACCGCTATCCTGTATTGGGCCTATCAAGAACATGATTACACTTGTCTCAAGTGGGTGGTACTCCACCATAAACGAAATCAGTACCACTTCCATGGAGTGCGCGGCCACGCCCACCCCATATTCAGGATATGGAATGTAAAACGTGCAGCTTAAACGCTTGTGATACATATCAGAAAGAAAAAGTAAGCGGGTATTTGGATCTACACCTTCCCATGCTCCCTCATATCTTGCCCAGCGGGAGGGTTCAGGGCAGGATACTGTGCAAGCAAAAGTTTTACATTCTTTTGCTTTCTGCTTGTCTGACTGGCTTAATCTCTACAACGTTTAAGCTCTACCTCGCCACCCACTCTTTTTCCAAGAAGCACGGCGTATAAGCTCGCTTGCAAGGTCTATGCCCCCACAAAATGCGACAAACCCCTTGCATAAATTTCCCTGAGCGCCTCCACCACCATTGTGAGATTACAGTTTGTTACCCTACCACCCATTCAATCATTTGTGAAGTGCGGCTGCCGTTGACAGCTTTTTTCAGGTTTATTTTTCCTCGGTTTGCCTCGAGGACGCGATACCGTCGTGTTCAATTTACATCGAATTTATGGACAAATAAGACTTGGGATGATTATGGCAGGTAATATTTGAGCGCTTTGGAAACTCCGAGCGATTGGCACTTCTTAAGAACCTTTACATTTAACCACTAACTTTTAGGGTTTGAACTATTGGCGACGTTTCGTAACGATTCACCGCTGCCAGCTTCACTCACTCGAGACCACTTTGAACTGGGCCGGGGAGAATACGTTCAAGATTTATTCGTCTTGAAAAAACTATGAACATTGTTAGTTAGGACTTGTAACCACATCGTCACTACAGTGACGATTCGGAAGTCTTTCGATGTGAAAACTTTCTCTTTTTACGGTTGAAATAATTTATGCTTTCATGTGCAGTGCTTGACGGAACGTCGGGTGAGCATTTCTGTGTAAATACGTTTTGGGCGCAGTTCGGCGACAAGTGAGGGGGGGGGGGGCATTTTGCTTCCATATATGTGTCGACCCATCTAGATAGCCGTTTCTTGAGTTGACACGTTTTACCATGGTGGCTAGGCGAGCTTGCTCCAGTTTCACAAAGTTCACAAGTTTCGCCAGAAGGAGATTGTAACCGAAGTAGTTGAGCAGGAAAAGTGCAAAATACCTATTGTCGCCGAACCCCGCCTACGTTCTGTCCCGGTCAGCCCTTTTCCACAACTAGTTGTCACCATTTGGCGGGTTGCCATTGATGGAACTAGGCTGATGCTGCACTTAAACATATGCGCGTAGGGACACTTCACTGTGATGCTCCAGTGAACGCTATGTACAGCTTGTTCCAGGCTGGCGGATGAAGGCGGGGGCGTCACTACTTCCGGTTTACAAGTCTCACTCTGGTGAAACTTGTGAACTCTTGTGAAGCTGGAGCAAGCTCGTCTAGCCACCATGGTAAAACATGTCAACTTAAAAAAGGCTATCTAGATAGGTCGAACGTCGATGGGAAGTGAAAAGTGCAAAATGCCCTCTCCCCCCTCCCACCCGTCACCGAACTTTTCCGGCTGGCACTGCGCCAAATCCGTCTTCCCTGACGTGCCCCACCACTCGCAGCGAACAAAAGTTATAGTGCTTTCTCGTTGGCTTTTCAGTTCTATAAAGTCAATAGAACGTCCATGCTTTCGCACCTTGTCAACTGTCCCTTTAACCTAAAAAGTCGAACGGTTGTCGTCGATCATAGAGACCTCACTGTTTGTTGGGTTTTCCTGGTTTTCCTTCTCTACAGAAATCCGTGTACAGGCGTTTTCGCTGCAGACGCTGGGGCGTGTCGAAGGGCTGGGATTGGCGCTGCACCAGCCTGATTCCCACTAATCAATTGTCGTTAGCGGGCTTCAGGAATTAGTGTAGAATGGGCAGGCGCCACGCTAAACCCAGTACCCCCCCCCGTGACACATCCCACCGTCTGCAGCGAAAACGACTGTATGAAGGCGCCAAAGATTTGTCAGATAGAAAACCCACGCTTACTGGAAGCGATTCAATCCGTTCGTTTTTGAGAGAGCAAGAGTAGTGCTAGGTAGTCGTTAATTTTAGATTGGAAGTTGATTTTTTTGTCAACCTTAGTTCCGGTCTATAAGAGACGTACAAGTAAAACACATATGGGAACCCATTTTGGTTATATCTTACTGAACGGCCCTCTCCGCTTTGTTTTCTGAATTGTTGTCTCCTACTGTAAAGTATCTTACTGTCTCCTCAGATCCGTACCTATTACAGTTATTTTCGCAGCCGTTTCAAGAGCGTATGATTGGCCTGTTTGCCGCGTTCATTATTAGTACAGATTTGTAGCAGGGCACCTAAGAGTGCATCAGATAAGCAAATAAATAAAACGGAATGGCTTGATCCCAGATTGGATCACAGGGCGCAGTTCGGCGACGGGGGGCATTTTGCACTTTCGTTGCTTCACTAGTTCCGGTTTACAAGTCTCACTCTGGTGAAACCTGTGAACTCTTGTGAAGCTGGAGCAAGCTCGTCAAGCCATCATGGTAAAACCTGTCAACTCGAGAAGAGGCTGTCACGTCGATGGGAAGTAGCAAAGTGCAAAATGTTCACCCCCCTCCGCGCCCGTCGCCGAACTGCCCCAGATCACAGTTTTTCCGTGGACGAGTTCGTCTCCAGTTCTAATTCCCTTTGGTTCTGTAATGTCATTTCATCACATTTGAGAACTATTTTAACAAGTTTGAGTTACTCATTTAGATTCGCTGGTCTGTGTTGTTGTATTTACCGGTTTGTTTTCGCTTGCGAACTGTTTTTCGAATTATGAGTGTCCATTGATATATAAAATAGATGCTAAGCTATAGCCCCAATGCGGGAGATTACCATCAAGGCACACCATCGCTGTGAAAACAACAACGGGGAGTCGTATTTGACCACGAGGCGGGGGAGGCATCAGTGAAGCGCAAGGCCTCACTTACGGAAGAAGAGCGATACTCATATGTATGTTGTAGAGTCAGCGAATGTCAAAAAAATTTGTTTATGGGTCTTGTTAAAGAACAGGGCACATCGTTTTTGGAGATACTCCAACAAGGGGTCGTAATTGCGGAGGCGGGGGTCTTATTTGCTCTGATGCAAAAGCTTTTGAAAAGCCTATTTTTTTAGAGACGCTGCGTGAAAGGAGGGCGCGGGGAGTCGTATTTGTTCATTACTGCCGGAAAGGGGGCGGGGGGACCGTATTGCGGTCCTGCCTTCTGAGAGCAGAGGCTGTTACTTTTGTAGGCTTTTCCTTAGATTCATATTATTACTATACACCCTCCTCCCCCCCCCCCCCTCACTCGACAGCAAAAACTTTTGCGAAAAAATCAGGAAAATTTCCGGGAACTTCTAGGAGATCCTTTAGGGATTGCGCGAAAAAGGAAGGGCGCGTCGTACCAACCCTGTAAAGAAAAGGCGGCGGGGGCGTTGTTAAGCTTCGACCCAAAATCCCAGCTAATGATGTGCATCTTGTGTGAAGAATACCTGAAGAGACAGAGTGGCAAGCTGCAAGCTAAGAGTTGGGGACGGACGGTCACAAGAAGTACAGCTGCCGCCCACCCACATGTTGCCAACAGTCGGAACACTGTTGTTTACACGGAGAGTCCTACCTTTAAGAAGCTACTTTCCAACACCCTGAGAATATAATTTAAAGCACACATTGGTACGTTCAAACACATTGAGGGTGTATGAGACTATCAGCCCCCAGCTGTCGATGTGTCGTGGTCCCCCGCCCAAACATGCCCAGGAATGGAGATACAGGACCGTGAAACACGCTAATTCCTCCATGCTCCGCCTTACACCTTTTGCGGCGCAGATTCCTCATAAACATCCGTTGCAAGCGCGCGTGGTCGCTCCTTGGCACTTCGCCAAGTCCTTATTGCCCGCTGGTCATCAAATTCAAGTAAAACGCAATTTCCTGAATTCTGCCTACACGGATAACATTGGAGGTGCTACAAAATAAGAACAGAAGATGATGACGAAGGGCCAGAACTCAAGAGCAACTCGGCTGCATCTGCAGTATCCATCAGAGGCCGCGCATTCCCAGAAAACATGAGAATAAAAACAATCCAAGCGTCCCACTCGTTTATTCTAAGTATTTCTATGGCTTTGGCGCCGGATTCGCGCCGGATCGTAGAAATTTACAGGCGATTTCAACTAATTTGCCTTTCCTTGCTTTTATTCATTTTTGTTTTATTTACATTACTCGTTGTCCTTCATTCTAGCTGTGTCATCGTTCACCTCTCTTTTACAATGATTTTTAAGTATGAGCAACACGTATGAGCAACACCTAAACTTTTTATTCGCATCAGGAAATTGCGTTTTGCTTGTATCAAACTAACGAGTATGCCGTTTTATTTTCATGTTTCGTGGAAATACGCGGCCTCCGAGGGATGTTGCAGAAGTGGCACAGTTGCTTTTAAGTTCTGACCCTCGTCATCATCTTCTGTTCTTATTTTGCAGCACCTCCAATGTTATCCGCATCAGGAAATTGCGTTTTACTTGTATTTGAAAGCGCAATTAAAGGACTTGGCAAAGTGCCAAGGAGCCGCACGCGACACGCGCGCTTACGACGGATGTTATGAAGGACGGGAATCTGCGCCGCAAAAAGGTGTAAGGCGGAGCATGGAGGAATTAGCGTGTTTCACGGTCCTGTATCTCCATTCCTGGGCATGTTTGGCGGGGACCACGACACATCGACAGCTGGGGGCTGATAGTCTCATACACCCTTCAATGTGTGTGAGCGTACTACGTGTCGTTTAACACAGAGGCAGTTTGAACCGGGGCCAAACCAACTACTATTTTCTGATAACTCTGACGAAAAGAGTGTTCTGGAGGCATACTAAAGTCAAATGAGCTGGAAAAGAGTGAATGAAAAAGGTGCTACTGCGCCTCTTTGTCACAACAAAAACACAACTGGAGATTTTCTGTATCCGCTTTGTAGCGGGCTTAAGGAAAAAGTGGAGCGCACTTTAAAAAGGGGAAATCTTCTGGATTCCGACCACGTTTTGGTTCGACAAAAGCAGTCACACATAAAAAAAGGCTGCTGGCTGTTCTTCAATAGCATTTAGGTGCATACTTAAAGTCAACGGCGGCGTAACAACGAGGAAATTCCTTCAAGCAGGAGATGTCTGAAATCCTTAAGCACAATTAAATACCGCACCTAGTGCATGACAAACCCTGCTTCGCCTCTTCAAAAACTCAGCTCTCAAAAAAGTTATTGATCCTCAAGAAGGGTTTTTCCGATGTTACTTGCCTGTTCGGAAAAGACACCGCCAAATAGCTTGTTTCGGTGCAACGGCAGAATGCGCGGCGAACCCTCAAAATCCACGTATCCGATTAAATAACATCCCATGTTTTTGGTCGTAGCGTCACAAAGATGACCTTCTTTAGCGCGAGGGGGCCTCGTATTTTAGGCGAAAGGATTGATAATACATAACGCCATGGCGTGCCGTAGCACAAATGCGACCCCTTGATGGGCTTCGTAAAATGACAGCGTGCGCAGTTTCTGACTCACAATCAGACCTCTCTTATCAATAACATCTTAATATTTAAAATTTTGGGGGTTTCGCCCGAACGATCGCTTATGGGCCAACTAATCTGCTCACAGTCGTAGAAGCATAAAGTAATAGCTGGTAAATAAAAAAACGCGATAGCACAGCAGCGCCAGCTCACTGCGTTTCATGGCAAGTTGCACATTTCGTCAATTTCCTCGCGCCATCGATTCTGTCAAACCATTGTATGAGCCTGTACGTATCTAAATCTCCCCAGGATCCCACTTGGATCACGAA